CACTGTGTAATAAGGCTGAGAAGGAGCTTTTCTGCGCAGGTCCAGCTTTACATGCTTGACGAACACGAAAGGGCCAGCAAAGAGGCAGCTGCCCACTTGTCCCAGCAAGGTGAACAGCGACAGCAACTTCGACAGAAACTTATGCATCAATTTCAATTGCTGATGCTCCGAGGTGACTCAGATTTGGAGCTGGCGGTGCTGCGCCGCCAACTGGCAGACCTATACGACCCCGACGATGAGTGAGCCATCATCGCGCGCTGCTTGTAATGCGGACTCTAATACGCCAGCGGCTCCCCGAGAGAGCCTTGTCGCTTCCAGTGACTTTGGACCATACTCCGACAGTTTTCTATGAACGTGTAAGCACATCTATTTACTACAGAGCGTGTCGAGCATGTTGCTATGTGTTTGTCCCCATGCTGCATTTCAGGGATAGCGTCGCCTTCTTATCGCCTACTTTGACTCCAGGCCGTGAAGTTGAAGCAGCAAATAAATGTTCTCCCAGTGCGTCTCAGCAGGAAGGTGGTGAGAGGTCCATGGCATACAGTGACGAGGAACGTACTGGATCTATGGCATCAGAACAAAACGGAGCAGGACGGCTTCCCTTCACAGTTTCCCCTTCGTGGAGACAGAGACCTCATGGGATATGGCAAGAGCCGCCTGGGGCTCCGCAGACTGAGCCCTGTGCTGAGTGGAGTCCACCGCCAAGCCCCATGGAACACAACCGTGTAAATGGAATGGGGGGTAAAGAGGACAACAATTGCTGGGAGACGACTTCACTTGGCACAGGTACTGCCCTTGAGGACGACCGTGAGCACAACCGCAAAGATAACGACGAAAATGCCAATTGCAATGCGGCGCAGAGCCCGAAACATCTCTATTCCACTCAGGAGACATTGGAGTTAAAGCATCCAGGGAAAGACGTGCCAGCTGAGGAAACGCCCAAGCCTCCATTGGAAGCCAACAGGCGCCATTCCGTGCTCAGTCGGAGGCTTTCCGTGGTTCCCAATGCCCACTTGTCCCCGTAGCCTGCTCTTTAGATCTCACCGACTTGGGTGCTGAGTGACGCACCTAGAAATGTGGTAGCAAGCAGATTTATCAGGTCAAACTGTGGGCCAGCACTGAAGCTGCGCGTCATTTTGGCTCTACTGCACTGGGACATCCACGCCACGAGGTACTGCCCCCAATTATATGGAAACTTTCCATTGTACAGTTGGGTGAACTTCGCCTCAAGCAAGAAGGAATTCGGATTGTTTTCTGGTATGTTCCACATGTTTGTGGTGGCAGCACCCACCTGCGGAGCCACTCAACTTTCAAACTGGCATGCTGGGCCTTGGATTCGCTTGCATTTATGAATATCTGGCCTCACAGAGAAGCGAGAGGAAATCTCAATTACAGTGCACGACTTCTACCTCAGCGAACCTTTCACAAAGTGCTCGGCCAACATCGCGGCTGTGTGTAAGTCAGAAGAGTGCTGCACATACCACCGCATCCGGGAGCGCCCTGTGGTATCGCTTGTCCCTGAGGAGTTTGTATGGAGTCAATGGTGCAGCGGAAGAACATATTTTTCCGTTTGGAGGGCTTTGACATGAAAATCGTCTCTTCATCTTGGAACAGAGACCTGCGAGACCTTTAAGAAGAGACTCTGCACTCCGGTTTTAACTATGTTATTCCTCCGTGAAAGTTGTAATGCTTTGCTTTGCTTGCACTGGCGTTTCCTTTCTCCTGTGCAAACATTGCACATTCATGCCAGTAGCACGCCTTAATGCCAGCCCAACAAAACCACGGCGAAGCTCTTGCGGCCAGTTCTTATGTGGATGAGCAGGGTCTAGTGTGTGGAATTTGCTCCCCTCCTTCCGCAGAGCACCGCAGATGCGCATAGGGAAGAGGAACTTGGGAAAGCTATGACTATTATCTTCGAGAAGGAGCTCTTACCTGAGAACACTTGATTTAAAAGTCGTGGGAACACTGATGTGGTTCTTGCCGCATGCTTCTTTGGGTTGTTTGAGTGTTTTCTTTTTTGTGCCACAACTTCTGCATCTCTTAACCAGTTCGCTAACACTAAGGCCTCACACGATCTACTCGACTTTTGTGGGTGGGATTTTGCCTTGCTTGACAGAAATGTTATTATCATGGCGTTATGGCTGCAGCACGAATTTATGCTTTTGCTCGGCGATTTTCACCCGGCCGTTGGATGTTTTTGTCTTGGTGATATGGGCTTTCATGGTTGTTCCATTGAATCGCTTTCGCATTGGGGCAAGTTGACGTCTGTTGTTCCTGTGCCCGCGTATAACTGCGCAGGAAGTTTGAAGCGAACCCGTAGAGTCCTTCTACATGAACGTGGGACAAAGTACCTGCTGGCGCCACGGCTCGTGTGGCTACTTGCGACTGGTGATTTTTCATAGAAGTTGCAGTAGATGGGCCTTTCGGTTCCCATTGATCAGATGATGCATCTGCTCTCCTTGCCGGCAGCTGCGCCATATTTGATAGGGAATTCACGCGCGACTGTATACGTTTGGAATGCGGTAGAGTGCAAGCACAGCCTACTTGTGAATGCATACTTCTTTCACACCGCAGCTTTAGGATGGAATGCATCACTAGCAGGGGATGCGAGCCGCCAGCTACCACATCACACTCATTCGCCTCGGCGATTTAAGAAGCACGTGCATTACAGAGTACTCTCCCAGCAACCGAAGTGGTAGTTGCAGTACCTTCGTAGAAGTCGACAAGGTCAAACGCATGCAACGCGTGGCATTTTGCACCTCTTAGGACGTATAGACGCAATTCGCCAACGATGCTTTCCTCATTTTTGAGAGATCGCAAAGGCTTTCTCCGGCAATTAGTGCTACGTAGTATTTGTGGAATAATAAGGTCACCAGATGGCGAGGAACACCAAAGATGTTTCCCACACCTCACTAATAATGCAGCGGTGAGGGTACGGAGCGTCTGTGGAGGCCGCTCTTAGGACAGGTGCTTGCTTCTTCAGTTGCCGTGTCCATAGGCCGAATTTTTGAACTTATGGTCTAACTCGCACTCGAGAAGCTGGTCTTTTGCCTTTCACGCGAAGGTGACCACGGCACGTGTATGACGACAACTTGGCAGGCTCGCCCACCATCCGCTCGTCCACCTTCCTCTGCGGGGCCATGAAGCTGTGAAACTGCAGAGAATTGCATCACGAAATCGCTGGTCCCACATGTGTTAACTTCCGTAAGGCAGCTCTTTGCATTTCCGAGCTGCACTGAGTGCTGCTTACATCTGAGGGCGGAAGAAATGGAATTTCTGTCAAATGATGGCGTGGCTATGACTGTGCCTTGGGCGTTTTGCAGAATGTTCACGTGGGACTGCCGCACCCAACCTAAACAACACCTAGCATGAAAAGTCGGAGGCCCGCATTGAGCTAGTGAAGCTATCTCTGCCACGTTCGTACTATTATTCCGGGAACAAAATTGCTCGAACATTGCGCAAAAGGTTTGTATGTTGCTTTTGGGCGGATGCTCCGCTAGAGCTGGTGCTGGGAGATGCAGCTTAGCTCCGGATTTCCCTTGTTTTAGTGCTTATTTTGGGCCACCAATTCACCTGTGTCTTTCTCCTGGACAGCCTCGACACTGCATTTAGCCACCTACGCCTCACCAACAAACGCCCCCGAATTTTTCGCAAATTGCAGCCGCGCTGCACCAACTGTCATCAGCTACCCCGTAAAACCCCTGATTAGATCCTAGCACTACAGTGAACAGTCATCTAATGCTAAACTAGCTTTAAGCCCGAATGTGATGCTGGGTACATCCCCTTTGTAGAGATAGGTGGCAACCCACAGCTGGGTGTCGTCATTTCCGGTGCCATATTCTGCGAAGCATTAGATCTAGCACCTCATTTGAAGTCTCTTCAAAATTTTCGTCCGCGATGCAAAACTGGCAGATACTAAAGACGCACCCCACTCTGATTCCTAACTCGGCTGTCCTGCGTGGACCAGTTAGTACAGCACCTAGTAAGCACGTTCTACAGGAGGCAAGCAACTACACAGGGAAACACACCTGTCAAACTTCCGTGAATATAAAATGAAACTCCACCTCACTACTAGATTTGTTCACTGAAATCTTTGGTATGCTGAAGGCCCTCCTAGGCGCCGGCCCAATGCCAGGGTCTCGGTGCTCACCAGTTGACCCACCACTCGGGTGGTTATTCGCCCAAACCAGGGTTTTACTTTTACAGCGAGCTGTTTACACATAGCCTTATTTATTGTTTCTCTTCCACTGTTATTTCTTTTCACATCACCCGCTGCTCTGACTGGCAGACCGAGCACTAGGACTACACTGTATCTGCGAATCAGCCTGCATGCAGTTCAGTGTGTTTATTGTACAAACAATAGGCTGTTGCAGGTATAAGCAATGGATGCGCATTTATTTTTATCCTGGTAGGAGCCTTGTGAGTTGCGTTTTTCTCGATCCCTTCCGGCAGGAGTCGGTCGCGTTGTTGTTCACTTTTCGTAGTACCACATTCGGGTGCGTCCCTTGGGATCGCAGTGTCGTCTGATGTCTCACCATCTGCCTGGGGACGCAGCTACACACTGCAGGACTGTCTCTTTAAGCTGAACGGAGAGGTACAATGCTTCGTCTGGAACGAGAGAGACAAGGGGCCCCCTAGTGGGTTGTCGTTTGCCCGCTCATAGATCGCTTCAGGCTGCCTTTCGCCCCTTACCAGCGTACATTAGGCTACAGTACTTCACAAATCAGCTGCTTCTTGCCCACAACCCGTGATTTATACCTGGGGGGGTTCGAGGCGAAGGCGATAACTCGTGGCTGCCCTGAGTGCATTGGACTTCTCCAGAGGTGGCTTCATCTCGCATATTTTGCTTACTGCTCCGCTTCCCTTGAGTGCAGTCTTTCAATTTGGAGCAAATTCTGCTTCTACGACATGCTCCTGATGCGTGCTGAAACAAGAGCAGCACTGTTTACGTGAAGGTTTTTGTCTTGCGGCTGCTCCCTTCAGAAACCTCCTACGTAGCCATGCTAACTCATCGCCGGGAGGAGACTGATCACACACGCATCCATGTGCAGCAGCAGAGCGCGGAGATGAATAAGGAAAATATGAGGGGAGGGTTGCGCTTGAATGCACACAGACGGCGCTCACCCAGCAGAGATGAACTGGAAGGGCATGATGACGCTCACCCGCCGAATCCACGTGCAGATTTATTTTGGCGACTTGCTTTAGTCATTGTGTTGTCTTTAACACTGGTTTCTGTTGGTACGCTGTTTTTTATTAATGGTTTCTTCCTCTCAAGAGGTGATTTGCCGTACATCAGCAATGGACGCGAGTTGCCGTTCCCTCCACTGTTCCCTCATTTGGATCCAGCTAAGCTCGACCTTAACGAAGATGAAGGAATCTACTATATCGCGAACACGCCAGGAACTCCACGAGCTGTTCCTGCATCGCCCAAACAGGGCGATTCTCTTACTCCTGTCCCGATAGCGCTGCACTTGAAGGACTTTCTAGATCCAAATGTCGACTTAGCTTCTACTGAGCCTGAAGCATGTTTGGAGGGGTCCTGTCAGTCGTCTTGGGTATCTGTGACGCCATATGACCGCGTTTTTATTCTTTTAGTGGACGCCATGCGATTTGACTTCTTGCTGTGGGACCCTGAGGCGTCCAATGCTTGTGGAGACGACGCATCAGCCGAGTGTGCTGCAGCACCTCCAGGGTTCCGTCCTTTCTACAGAAATCGATTGCCGTTTGTTCATGACATCCTCCGTCGAACGGATGCAGACTTGAAACACTTTTTGTGTAGCGTGCTGGGGCTAGAACTGCCGCCCGAACGGGAATTGGGGAACGGAAGGCCTTTAGTGCGAAATGGCCAAAGCTCCGACCCCGTGGAACCGCATTTAAATTCAAAGGAAGTGTCATCTACGCCAGACTGGGGGGGAAATCACTTTGCACGACTCTACGTCTTTGAAGCAGACCCGCCAACTGCCACTACCCAACGTGTGACTGGCCTTGCCACAGGCAGCATGCCCAGTTTCTTCAGCGTAAGATTGCACGCAAAGAGCGGAAAAGCCCGCGAGAAGATTGAAAAATCCACTAGAAATAGCACTGCATGTTACGTCGCACTCCCCCCTATTTTGTTTTCTAGTGCATCCTATTGACTTGAGGAGGAGGGGCGTTTTAAACAACCTTCTGCCATTTTGCTCGCATTGTTCATTGATGCTGTGGTCCCGTTGCTGTAGGTTAGAGAGACGTTCTCGGCCTCGGCCGTCACTGTTGATAGCATCATGCTGCAGCTGAAAGCATCAAGGAAGACATCCGTTGCTCTCGGTAGGCTTGCTTGATTGCCATGAAGTGCTGCCTCCCTACTATTGCTCAGAGCTGTTAACGGCTTTAAGACGGCCGCAGCCCTTTTGTGAGGTGTACTGTGTATCTCCGGAACAGGAGACGACACTTGGGGTCGATTGTTCGGTCATCTTCTGACTCGCATGCACCTGTTCCCCTCACTCAATATTCAGGATTTGCATACGGTTGATGATGGAGTTGCCGCTAGTCTTCCAAGGGAATTCGCGTAAGCCATGTCGGCGAGTAGCCATGCCGCTATCTACACTCGCGAATTTTGTGCATCAACCTTGCGTACAAGACGATTTGTGACTAAAAAGAATCGTACTTTGTTTCATGGCTGGAGGTCGCGAATGAGAATAATGCGTCAGTATCTTGCAAGCGACATGGTAGTGGTCTTTTGCGCCAACGTTGCGCAGCCTGTGATATGATGAAATATGCTGCGCTACTGTAGGGTGACCACCCAGCAGTGGTTTTGAACTTGGTATTAATCTCTTGATTCCCCACAAGAGATGCAGACAGAGGTACCATTGTGGTGGTGTTTGTTGAAATTGATGGCGGTGTTTGGTTCCACAGGAAGGAGGACTGGGCATTCCTTGTTGGTCACACTCTAGGCGTTGACCATGTGGGCCACGCGGCGGTTCTCGATTCCGAGCTGATGCAGAAGAAGTTGACGGAAGTAAACAGCATGCTTAAAGATGCGCTGAAATTGGTCCTTATGCAACAGCCGAATTCGAAATCTGCGGCTTCTGAGAACACGCTTTTTCTCGTTTTTGGAGACCATGGAATGACAGAAACTGGGTCTCACGGAGGTGGAAGCAGCGAAGAAGTAGGTGCAAGCAGGAAGAGAACAGTGGCAAATGTTGTTTCTTTAATCGACTTTGTTAGTTAGTCGAACAGCTTGGCTGATATCGTCAACTGATACAGTCGTAAGCTGTTACATATTTGCTTTGACCCCTTTTGGGCCTTTGACGCCCTTATGTGCGGTTTCGCCTTTTAGGTTGAGGCTGGTCTTTTGTCATTTTCGACGCTGCCGGCTATTTTGAGTCCCCGAACTGCACAGATGCTATTTCCTGGCACTCGGCTATTTGAAGGCCGTCTGCCGGCATACTTGCAAAATCACGGTGCGCTTCGTGATAATAATGCGCGCCGCAGGGTCGGACTGTCAGCTCAGTCAGCTTCTCCTACACCAATTCTGGGCTACGGGTCACTTCGCGTGCGACAGGTTGGCCTGGCGCCAACTTTGTCCCTACTTTTGGGTCTTCCGATTCCATTTAATTCCATGGGAAGGGTTATCGCAGATCTTGTTCCTCGTGTTGCAAGCTTTGTGAAGGAGTGTGCCCCTGCGCGTGAGGGTGAATCTCTCAGCCTTCACGCGTGTGAAACGAATAGGGACAAGTCATGCGGTTCGGCGTTAGCAAGTGAAGCAGTAACGGCGCGGGCGATTCGTTGCAGCGACTTGGCCTACCTGACTCAGCTCCATCATATTGCAGCGTGGCAGCAACATCGAGCCATCCTGAGTCATGCAAAACTTACACGTAACGATGCAGTTCTGACAGATCCACTGTTTGTCGGAGCAAAAGCCAAGTGGCTCCGGCTGTATGCTGCACTTGACAAGGAGGTCAAGTCTCTCCCTGCAGCAGCACACGCGCCTGTGAATGCAGGGACGTTGATACCTGAATCCAGGCCTGCTGACTTGCATCTCACTCTGCCTTTGTCAAGTATTGGCTCTGAGATGGCCGAGACAGAGCTCATTTCGCGCAGATCAAAGCTGTTAGAAGCACGTGTGGTCGGGGAGGAAAGGAGCGGCGGGGAAAATTCAGAGAGAGAGGCAGCGGCGGAAGGGGCTTCAGGCGCCGCCTCCATTTTACCTTCATTAGTTCCTTACCTCCTGGCGTCAGCAGCCTTTTCACAAGAGGCCTGGCAAGCCAGTGTGCGCCAGCTGTGCACATTCAATATGACGCTGATGATATGCGGAACATTAATTGGACTTAGCAGTCTCCTTATTTTGGCATGTGCATTTCTTGCGCTCCATAAAGCACGTGACGGTGGCCTCAATGACGCCGCAAACGTCTTGACTGACCGTGGACTTCCTGAGCTAGCCGCTATTGCACGGTGGCTGTTCGCCAGTGCTTGCATTGGGGGAGCGACGTGGATAGCGGGGTGGGCATGTGCGGGAATATACAAGGGCCTGTTGCCAGATTCAGCGGCTGCGGTGGACGTCTTTGTGTGGCGTCAGCTCCCACTGGTCTGCGTGACTGGCTTACTGTGCTCGGTTGTTGCTCCATTCGCCCCGGTGCTTCTTCCGGTCTGTCGATGTATCCGCAAATTAGTTGGCCGATTGCCACATGCAGAAGCCGAGCATCTTATGCACGATGGAAAGGATAAGAAAGGCCTAGGCGCATTGCTATCGAAGGACCTGTGCTTCACCCGCTTGTGGCTACGTCTTTTCAGTCGCGGGACGTTGCTCTGCTACATTTCAGTGTTCGCGCTGTGCATTGTGCCCTTTAGCGATTGCTTTGTTGACAGAGAGTGCAGCATTGTCAAGTACCTCATCGGCACTTACTGTCTTTCGGCTGGAATTACGGTATTCAAAACGCCTTCTGTGATGCGGGAGAAAATGCAGATTGTTGCCGCGTAAGCAGTACCACTACGGCGAGCAATAAGGCTGAGCCTTTCCCGTTTCTGAGCCGTGCATGAATGCGCGCTGCGAGAGGCCAGAGCTCTGTCCTTTCAGGCCTGTGGTGGCATGCTGTTTGTGCTCTTTGTGTAGTGGTTCTGGAATAAAGATGCTTACGTGCCAGGGCTTTGCTTCCGCAGTTACAGTGAGCGCAGTCAGTGGAGAATTGCCGAGCACTCACTGCGTTGTTTGGTTGCTATGGTATTCAGATGTGCCGCCCTTCTGCTGTGCGTAAGGATGAGCAGCGCATTCGACCCTTTTGCGTCTCCACGGGAGCAGGCGGGCAAGAAGGACTGGCCTTTGGAAGCTGATTCAACGAGCGCCAGCGCTTTCATTATGTTCTGTATATTTTGTGTTGTTGGGATGAGGCATGTGCCCCTCCTGTCGTCATTGCTTCGATCTGGAAAGTTAGATGGCCGTCAGCGGATCGTTGAAGAGCGTGTCAGGTTCCAAATTGCCAGCTTTCAGCCACTGAGAGGGAATAAGAAAGGAAGGTTGTGCACTTTAGAGAGAACGGCATTTCTTCTTCTGGGAGCGGTTGCTGTGGTCTGGTTTGCGTTTTCTAGCGACACGAAGTCACAGAATCCAGCACTTCCCCCAGCTCCCCAAGTTTCTGAGCATGCAGATATGTGGAGTGATCTTTGTCACAGTGCAGTGGCGCTCTTGTGGACTGTCATCTTGACACCTTTTAAATACTTCGACGCCGCCGGTGCTTCTTGTTTAAGTTTGATTACGCCTCCGGATCCGTGGCTTTTCAAGCCGCCACGTTGGTTGCGAGGGGCTATCCCAGCCCAACTGATGGAAGATGATTTAGTCAAATTAGTCCCACTGTTGAAGGTATCCTTGCCATGGTTCGTCTACTTCTTCACCGCAGGGCTTTGGCTGCGGTTAGCGCTTGTTTTATGCCACTTGAAGAAGCGCGAAAACAAGCTTAGCGTGCAGCAGCTTTGCCATGTGGAAGCGGAACAGACGGCTGCGGGAGATGAAATGCCAGACTTGGCTGATGTTGGTTTTGCGTTACATCGCAACAGGAGGGAGAAGGAAATGGCTTTTCGTTTGTGGCGCGTAGAATTTTTTGAGTACTTTTCATATTACCTGCTCCTCATAGCCGTGTCCCCAATATGCATGTTTGCTGTTCTTCTTGGGAGAGCGCGGCTGGTCCCTCTTTTGCTATTCTGTATAAAGTGGCGCCTGTTTCTGTTCTTGAGCCGAATTCGCATTGTGCAACGGCCCTTAAACTCCCACCAGGTTCACAAGTGCTGCATCTGTTCCTCGAGATGCTCGCCCTCCACGACTTCGGATGCCAACACCCCTCACACTGCTTGCGGGTGTGAAGTACCGGGCGACAAGCAAGGACAAGGGCAGTTTCTTCTGTCCGACTTCAGCGTTGGCCTCCTAAGTGCCCTGTTGGCTCTTGAAGGCTTCTTCGCCACTGGCCATAGGATGAAGCTCAGCGCGCTCCCCATCGAAGCTGGATTCGTAGGTTTGCTAGAGTTTCACCCAGTATTATCGGTTGTAACGTCGTTCCTGCATACGTACCTTGTCTACGTGATATGCTGCCCTCTCGTCTTCATGATTGCGTTTTTGCGCACGGCGAATCTGGCATATGGCGGTGGCACTGAACGGAACCGTTGCGGATCCACGGCTTCTGCCGTCGTGCATTCCACGATTTGGATGGCAGCAAGACTTGCACTTGGGTAAAGTCTGGCAGCTGAGACCCCCCAGCAAAACTGTGTGAGACATTAGTATATGTAGTGGCGTAAACAACTGGGATGTGTGAAAGCCCTATATGTCTCATTGGCTCAACTAATGTCTTTGCACTTTGGTGCAGGATCCTCACTGGCATCACTGTGAAACACCTGATTTCCCTACTCTCGCTTATTGTGCTTCGAAACCATCTCTTCGTAAGCTATGACCAACAGGCAGGAATTATTCGGCCAGCGTTTCTTTAGCGTGTGCCTAGGTGCACGGTGATGCAAAAACTCGCGTGCACGTTCTCGCCATTTGGACTGCTGCAGATATGGGAATTGTTCGCCGTAAAGTTCCTGTACGACACGACGGCGGCTGGTCTGGTATACGTGCTCGTTATCTTCTTTCTTCTAACTATCTGCATTGGGGCCCAGAGAGCTCCACTAGACTTACGTCCAGCAGCATAAATTCTGCGCCAACGCATAAACATTGTGGCGGCAGTGCCTTCCTCATCGTTCAGCTAAACTGCCAAAGGTGCTCGACATCGTGAAGGCAAAGCCTGCTGTCCCCCCCTCAGAACTCATCCGGTGGGTGAACGTCAAAAACAGCACTCATCAAGATGCGTTCGTTCCGCCTCTCTTGTTCAAATCGAAGGGAATCGGGGGCCTACACAGCTACGGCGACGCTCATGACCGGGAGCTCGTGTTCCGCAGCCTGAAGTAGGACAAACGCATTCGCAGCCCCCCTCCGATATCTTCCTTCTGTTATATTCTATCCAAGCACAGTTCGCGCTACATGTGTTTATCTAGCTGCTCACTTCCTCCCGACAACGCGTGCTCCGACCTTGTCAGGAGCACTGTCCATCATGATCCTCCGTAGGTCATGTTGTGCTCCTCTCATACGAAAGACTGCTCCGCGCTCATCCACTGGTTGTGTTGCGTCGTACGGCCCTGAGGGGAATACACTTGGCATCCCTGGGCTGCTGCCTGCTCGTCGGCCTTTCGAGATGAATGGTGGTACCCCGAGTGACAGCTGGGTGTTCGAGTAGCCAGGGTGTGGCATATAGCCTTGTACTGGCGGCCTCGGCTCGACCACTGGGACAAACAAGTTGCGTCCTCTTGCATGGTTCCGGGCGGAAGGCAAGTAACTGTAGTAGTATGGCTGGTGTGCCAGGGGGACATTGAGGTCCACGCGGCCAAGTTCTCCAGACGCGTACGATGTCCGTGAGAAGGGGACTTCTGTTGCCGCTGTTTCTCTCAGAAACGGCTCCTGAAAGACTCTGTTTTGCTCTCTTTGCTTTACGGCATCCTCCCGTGAGTTTAGACCTGCAGCGAATTCCACAACACAGTGTTCAAGGCTGGCCCAGAGTGCACAGGCAGCAAATTATTAATGCTGTGCCCGAACAAATGAGTGCGCTAAATCCAGGGGAAGGTAACTTTTTCGGCACCTCACTTGCATTTCGTTCAAGGCAGAATATAGCGACGAACAATGTGCGTAGTCGCATACACCTGAAACAAGCGCAGCCCTTCACTGAGTGCTGTGACGTCAAGCTGTCGAAAAGCCAGACAGAAATTCTGCGCGTCTGTTCTACGTAAGGCCTTTACCTAATGAACGAGGCAATTCTGTATACTCCGATCCGTGCCGCCATGTCCTTGTACGCAGATACGCGCAACTCATTGAACTTCTTCTGCAGCTTGTCTATTGTAGCATTCGATTCCGCTTCAGTTGTCACCTTCTGCAGCCTGAAGCAGTGGGAAGAGAGAAGAAACACCACACAGGGACAATTTTAAAGCTTAAATTCTGAAGGTACCGCCAAGACTAAGGTGCAATCTGAAACGTACCTTAAGAATGCCCACAGCATCCTTTTGTTCACCAGATGCTGGACAGACCATACCAGCCACGTAACGCTGGGCTCGTGACCTAATTTTCCGTGAATGTTGCCAAATGCATGGCCTGGAATGCTAGGAGCTTCTCCAATGAGGGCCTGCTCCATTAATGCCGCCTGGTACACACAACAAAGAACAGTAGATACGAACGGGAAGGAGCCCTATCCAATGCACGGATTACCTGACAACTTTCGGCATACTGGTGCTGTACTTTTCTGGACAGATCAACGGCAGGAGAGACTCACCCTACTCTGCCTTTGATTGACACCCTCTTGCTGCAGCTCCGCAACCTGGACACAACCCAAGCAAAACATGAACTCCTACACGGCATCTCTATGTGCTCAAATAAGGGAACGCATACTTACAAACTAGACATGCGTGATTTATCCTTACCTTTGCCATAAGCCTTTCATTTTCAGCCATTAAGAACATCTGTTCTTTACGGAACTGCATCAATCTAGACTCAATAGCATCTTGCCTTTTCTCTTTGGCCCCGCGTGCGCCGCCAATGAGATCTACTAACTGCTGAAAAGCCCACGCCATATTCCAAAGGCTTGTATCTGTCGGCATGCAGGCCCGCGATATCATCTCCACTGCTCTTCCTTTAAGCAATGCCCGGAAAGCCAGCCTCTTTGCCTCTTTAATCGGCATCAGCTTCGTTGCCTGGGCGCGGAGGTTTTCTTCCCTTTTCATGAGGGTGTTGATGAAGGCAGCTTGAGTCTTTGCTTTTTCTTCCAGCGCCTGCGTAGCCGTCCTCGATATATCATTTAGCTCCTTCATCTGGGCGAGAGAAGTTGTGAGAGTCTGCATGCTTGCAGTAAGAGCCTGCACCCTGCCCTGCTGCTCTAGCAGCTCTGATTCTTTGGTCTTCAATTCCCTCTGGTGCGTTTTTGCCTCATTCTCTTGTGCCTGAAGGTCATTCTTCCGCTTGTCTTCAAAAGATTTCATGAGAGTGGCCTTTTCCTTTTCGAATTCCTCTGTTTTTGCTTTTAGCTGCTGCTCCAAAGACCCTACTTTTTCCCTGAGCTCGCGAACGGAAGCATCGCACCGCATCTTCATACTGCTCTGCCGGGCCAGGGCTTGCTTCCGAATTTCCTCTCGTTTTTCCTCCTCCTCCTTCTTAAGTTTCTCTATATCTGCTTCTCGGTCCGACCTGACCTTTCGTACCTCTTCGGCAAGCTTTGATCTGAGCTGGAGCCGTATCCTTTCGACATCTTCTTCATGCCGTTTGCTGTTGTCAGCTAGTTGTGCCTCAAGTTCGCTAATGCGCCGCCTTGACTTTGCAAGACGGTCTTCAAGGTCGCGAATGACGCTTGGGTCAACTTTCGGTGTAGAGCTAGACGAGAAGGGCGTATCTGAGCCTCCTGCAGGTACGGCCTTCTGAGGAGCCTTCCGCGGGGTATTCTGGATGGCCTCACCAACCCCCGCGAAGCTGTCGAACGTCATATCTGACCATGCCGTCGCATCCGGGCCAGGTTCCGTTTCCCCTCTCCCCGACGGGAGTTTCGGCTGCTGCTTGGTAAAAATGACAGACTTCGGAGGCGCTGTAGAACCTGTTGCGGGAGGTCGTCTTTCTGCCGCGTTAGCTTGAGTCCGAACATGAGAAGACGCTTCTTTGCCCGAATGTTTCGGTTTCGCCAAGGAATCTTTGCGAGCCACCGCAGTCCACGCGTCTCCAGATGTCGACGCTTGTAAAACTACTGCCGAGGTATCTTGCAATCCCCCGCGAGCTGCTGCAGATGGTGTGGCCTTCTTCTCAGCTTGAGGTGGCTCGGTGCGTTCTGCCTTTTCACGGCCCACGACACTTCTCCTGGTTTTGACGGGCAATCCTGCTGTGGGCTTACGAGCGATTGGCTGTTCTGATGGCTTGGCCGCTGTTTGCTTGGTGGGCGCTCGCGAGAGCGGTTGGTACATCTCTCTCTGGACGTCCGTAGGCACACTTTTGGCATCGCTATCCTTTCGAACAGCGGCATTAGGAGGCCTGGCAATGACTGCGCTCCTAATCCGCTTCACTGCCTGTGAAGGGGAGTCAATGGACAACAGTGGATCCTCTACCATTAAAGCTGCATCTGCAGGACCTCTGGACTGGTTCTGTGGTGGACTTCCAGGGACAAACAAAGAACCCAGCAGGTCCACAGTGGGAGACGGTGGAGACTTCTTTGTAGGCTTCTTTGGAGCCTTCGCTGACCCGTCTTTCGCAGGAGGGGGCGCATGACTGGTTCCCTTTGAGGGAGGTGGCGGCGGTCCTCGCCTTGCTGGCGTTGTTAATGGTCCTTTCGGAACTGCTACAGCTGAAGTTAGGTCATCACTGGAGGAGCTATCCGATGACAGCAGCAGTTGGGAGGGGCCTTTTGAGGCCGACGCGGCCGGTTGTCGAGCAGCCATTGGGCTTCACCGCGTCCTCGAACCACACGCTTTCGAAGTCTTCCAGTAAATCGCGTTTGAGGCAGTTACATTCACACGCCCAATTTACACTTCTCATCATGGCTTACTCATGGTCCTTCCTTGGTGAGCCCAGGTGCTCCAGTTCTGCACTCAGGAAACTGTGCTCTCCACGGCTTCAAAATATATGTGCGGTACATGGAGCAGTGTGTGACCTGCCAGAACATGCGTGAGCGCCCTCGTCCTCACCCCTTTTCTTTTCGAAAACGAAGCGGAACTAGAGTGGAGCAACTGGTGACCGTGGTGGAGGGGAGATGGCGAGTTCCCCTGTGCCGGGTTTATTCGGCTACACTACCACCAGTCACATGCGCCAAGAACATACGCTCCTTGTACTGTGAAATTATTGAGAGGTCTGGCGTACACACAATTCTGCGGACGAGGTTCTGTCCTCGTGTACGCAAGCACAGCGTCCCGCTCTGTACTGAGGCCAAGTCACGGCAGTTTTAAAAAGATTGCATTCTCCCAGACTTTTATAAAAACTTGGCCAAAATTGAGCTAGTGAGGAGCTGCGGCGAAGGGTCAGCCTAGAAGCAAGGAGCGAATACACATGCGTCTTGGCTGGTCCGTCAGCTGAGGACAAACAGCTTGCGCTGTGGGGCAGCAGCGATGTGTCTCCAGGGGAATACCCAGTTAAACATAATCATATGCAGCTTATAAAGAAGCTGTATTGATTTGGGCGTTTCTTGCTGGAAAAAGCCCTGTGTGCACAGCACATCACAGGTCGCCGCAATGGAAGCCGTGGTCTGGCCTGCTGACAGTGCAGCTGCGGCACTCGACAGACACCAATGATGCCTTCCAGGAGGTGAAGTTGCAGTATTTTCATTTTGGGTGTTTTAATTTAGTGATGAATAGCAATTCAGTGCATAAGTAAGACAAGACACGGTTAATATACGACAACTGTGATTTCAGGTGGCGGCAGACAAGACCCGCCTGACCAACGCAGCACACGAGGCGGTTGGCAAGCTCACGCGGCCCACAGCACGTTTGCCACTTCTTGTCTATCCCCCATACTTTATTTTGTACTTTTACAGCTTCTGTTTGGAAACAATCATTAGGGCGTCGACACTGCGGCAGAGGAGAGAGCATCGGGTAGGCAGATGCCACTGGTACTGCCACGTGTGGCACTTCGTGCTGGGACGTTTAGCGCATTTTAGCATTGTGTGCCTTTGATATTGTGGAGGCTTAATCGTCCTATTCCATCGCCGCAAGCCTGCACACCCGACTTCGTAGCGGACTGTGTGACGTGGTTCCATTTTTTCCGATGGAGGGCTCTGGAGGACACCGCACTCACCGAAAAGGGCCCGCTAACTATAACAACAGCCGCCTTGCTAACATTCTGCCTCCTACGCATCTGGTTCCTTTACCACCAGCTCCCGCATCAAGGGGAAGTGCCTC